GCTCCTCCTCCTCCTCCTCCTCCTCCTCCTCCTCCTCCGTCCTCATTACTCTCGTCCTCATCCTCTTCTCCTCATCCTCTTCCTGACCACCTTCTTGCCCTCCTTCCTCCCCGTCCTCCTCTTATGCCTGCTCCTCGTCCGCATTCTTCCACCCTCTCCCCTCTCCCCTCGTGCTCCTTCCCTCCCCCGTCCCCTCTCCTTGTGCTCCTTCCTCCCCTCCTCCCCTCCTGGGGAGGGGGGGGGGAAAGGGAGGGAACGGCAGGAGGGGAAGCGAAGAGGGAGGGCCTTCCTCTGCCCCCCCCCACCCCCCCCCGCAAGGCTCGCTCGGCCTCTCGCGGCCCGCGCGCCGCAGGCGGGGCGCGCGGCCGCTGCCGAGCAGGCCCGCCGCTCCCCGCCGGCCCGCGCCACGCCTCGTCAGCGCCCCCCCCCCGCCGCCCCGCCCCCCCCTCCCCCCCCGCAAGCAGGCTCTTCGCTGACCTCTTTGCCGCTTGCTTCGCCCCCTGGAGCCCTGGAGGCTCGAGGCCCCCGCCGCCGGCCAGAGCTCGACGAGAGCTCCGATGGCGGCGGCACGCTGCCGCGCCGAGCGGCCCTCTGCGGGCCACGCTCGGGCTCCGGAAGCGAATCGACAGAACGGTAAGTCAGGATGGAAAGAAACACACAGACACATGTAATCGTCGATTCCCCAGAAAATATGGGAGCACATGGGAAGTGGGGGGGGGGAAGACAAAAACCCATGAAAACATGGGAAAGTATGGGGATATTTGTGTTTGTGTGTATTTCTTTGTGTGTCCTGGGGCCCCTTCAGTACGGGATGCGGGCCATCACCCCTCCCCCCCGCCCCGCCCCGCCCCGCCCCGCCCCGCCCCCCCCCCCGTCGCGACGAACGAACCACACCGCACCGTTTGCGGCGTCGCAGCGCGGCAGGGGCGGTGCGCCCGCGCGGCGGGGGCGAGGCCGGGGCAGGGCCGCGCGAGGGAGCCCGCCCTCTCGAGGGGAGGGGGAGGGCGAGCGGCCGCGGAGGAGAGGGCAAGGCGCGGGGGCACGCTCGCGCAGCGGGGGCCGCGGCGGGGGCGCGGCGGCTCGGCCTGGTTGAAGCGTCGCCCCATGGCAGCGCACACCCATGCCCCGTAGAGGGGGGGGGGGGGGGGATAGAGGAGGCTGTGGGATGCGCGTTTTGTCGGACGGCGGTCCCTGCCCGCACGGGAGCCTCCCCAGGGTTCCGACAGTCCGCACCCGTGCGCCCATAGCCAGTCCTCTTCCTGCCGACCCCCCTTTATGGGTGTGTGGGTGTGTGCTGTGTGCTCGTCATCTCGCCTTCGCGGGCAGAAGGGGCCTGCAGCCAGGACGCCGTGACCAGGACATGCAGGAGAGGCGAAGCCCAGGCGGGTAAGCCCGGGCGGAGACGGAGCACTCCGTAGGGGACTTTTTCCCGGAAAGGGCGTAGGCCCAGGGTTCTCTTTTGGTGGGTTTACCCTACGGTTTCGACTTGAAGAGGGCCGGCGAAATTATTTTGCGTAAATAACAAGGCAAAGTGCTGAATTGTTTTGAAAAAGTGCGTTTCGTGCGTGCCCGCTCGAGGAAAGTGCGCCCCCCATCTCGGATCCTCGATGAAAAACAGGGTCCGCAGACCCCCGCTTTCCCTCGTGAAAAAAGGGTGCGGTGCGTTTTTCGCAGAATCCTCGGCTACTAACGGGGTCTGGAGCCAAGACCGCGACGCGGAAAAGCGCCCCGCGCGCAGGAATTCCGAGGATGTCTCGCGCGTGCCGCGTCCCGCGCGCAGGAATTTCGAGGATGTCTCGACTAATTCGTTTGGTTTTGCAGGATTTCTTGGAATTTTGGCAGGATGTCTCCAGCGAAACGCTTGTTTCCCGGAAAGGGCTGAAGCCCAGGGTTCTCTTTTAGTTGGTTTACCCTCGGTTTTGACTTGTTGAGGGCCGGCGAAATTATTTTGCGTAAATAACGACGTAAAGTGCTGATTTGTTTTGAAAAAGTACGTTTCGTGCGTGCCCGCTCGAGGAAAGTGCGCCCCCCATCTCGGATTCTCGATAAAAAACTGGGTCCGCAGACCCCTGTTTTCCCTTGTGAAAAAAAAAGGTGCGGAGCGTTTTTCGCAGAATCCTCGGCTAATAACGGAGTCTGGAGCTCCGACCGCGACGCGGAAAAGCGCCCCGCGCGCAGGAATTCCGAGGATGTCTCGCGAGTGCCGCGTCCCGCGCGCAGGAATTTCGATGATGTCTCGACTAATTCGTTTGGTTTGCCAGGATTTCTTAAGATTTTGACAGGATGTCTCGAACGAAACGCTTGTTTTTCAGAAATTGTTGAGGATGTCTCGAGGATTTCTTTCGATTTTGACCGGATGTCTCGAGCGAAACGCTTGTTTTTCATAATTTGTTGAGGATGTCTCGAGCGAAACGCTGGTTTTGCAAAATTGGAGGGATGTCTCGAGCGGGGGCCTCGTGGGGTGCCAGAATTCAGAGGACGTCTCAGGCGAAATGCTTGTTTTCACGTCCCGCTCGCAGGAATTCCGAGGATGTCTCCCGCGTGCCGCGTCCCGCGCGCAGGAATTTTGAGGATGTCTCGACAAATTCGTTTGTTTGGCGACGATTTCTTGGGATTTTGACAGGATGTCTAATGCGAAACGCTTGCTTTTCATAATTTGTTGAGGATGTCTCGAGCGAAACGCTGGCTTTGCAAAATTGGAGGATGTCTCGAGCGGGGGCCTCGTGGGTGGCCAGAATTCAGAGGATGTCTCAGGCGAAATGCTTATTTTCACGTCCCGGTCGCAGGAATTCCGAGGATTCACGTCACGCTCGCTTGGCACGTTCCGTGGGGCGTCCCTTGGCGAGTCCCCCTGGCACGTCGCGTGGCGCGTCCCCTGGCACATTCCGTGGCCCATCCATTGGCACGTTCCGTAGCGCGTCCCTTTGGCACGTCCTACGGTGCGACCCCATGGCGCGTCCCCTGGCACGTCGCCTGGCGCATCCCTTGGGACGTTTCGCGGCGCGTCCTCCTGGCATGTCCCCCTGTCCATTAGCTCTGGGGCAGCCAATATGTGTTCAGGCAGCTCGAGCTTAAGATCCAGATCAGTCGGTCAGGACTCGGATGCAAAGGAGGACTCGATCCACGAGGCTATAGAGCACAATCGAGGCATAACACATCGCAATTCAGCACGGCGCAGACAGCACAGATTTCGGCACGGTACATCAAGATCGATACACTCAGCATTGCAACTTGGCACGTCCCTTGGCACGTTCCGTGGGGCGTCCCTTGGCGAGTCCACCTGGAACGTCGCGCGGCGCGTCCCCTGGCACATCCCGGTGGCACACATGGCAAGTTCCGCTCATAGCGCGTCCCCCTTGGCACGTCCCGCGGTGCGTGCCCATGGCACGTCCCTTGGCACGTCGCCTGGCGCGTCCCTTGGGACGTTCCGCGGCGCGTCCTCCTGGCATGTCCCCCTGTCAATTAGCTCTGGGGCAGCTACTATGTGTTCAGGCAGCTCGAGCTTAAGATCCAGATCAGTTCGGTCAGGACTCGGATGCAAAGGAAGACTCGATCCACGACGCTATAGAGCACAACCTCGGCATGGCACATCGCAATTCAGCACGGTGCAGCACAGCACAGCCACGGCACGGACATCAAGATGATACACTTTCTTTCTTTTTTTTTTTTTTTTTTTCGTCTTTTTGTCATTCAGCATTGCACTTGGCCTTGCCCGTCGCCCCCAATCAGGTGTCTTTGAACACGGTTGCCATGTTTACAGTTCTATATTACTTTCCGGGTTAGTGGGGTCGATCATGTGTTACATAGTTTGTTGAAGGATGTCTCGAGGGAAACGCTGGTTTTGCAAAATTTGGGGATGTCTCGAGCGGGGGCTTCGTGGGGAGCCAGAATTCAGAGGATGTCTCAGGCGAAATGCTTGTTTTCGTGTCCCGCTGGCAGGAATTCCAAGGATGTCTCGCGCGTGCCGCGTCCCGCACGCAGGAATTTTGAGGACGTCTCGACTAATTCGTTTGTTTTGCCAGGATGTCCTTGGATTTTGACCGGATGTCTCGAGCGAAACGCTTGTTTTTCATAATTTGGTGAGGATGTCTCGAGCGAAACGCTGGTTTTGCAAACTTGGGGGGTGTCTCGAGCGGGGGCCTCGTGGGGGGCCAGAATTCAGAGGATATCTCAGGCGAAATGTTTGTTTTCACGTCCCGCTCGCAGGAATTCCGGGGATGTCTCGCGCGTGCCACGTCCCGCGCGCAAGAATTTTGAGGATGTCCCGTAGCGCGTCCCGATGGCACGTCCTACGGTGCGACCCCATGGCACGTCCACGTCGCCTGGCGCGTCCCTTGGGACGTTTCGCGGCGCGTCCTCCTGGCATGTCCCCCTGTCAATTAGCTCTGGGGCAGCTACTATGTGTTCAGGCAGCTCGAGCTTCAGATCCAGATCAGTTCGGTCAGGACTCGGATGCAAAGGAGGACTCGATCCACGACGCTAAAGAGCACAACCGCGGCATGGCACATCGCAATTCAGCACGGTGCAGCACAGCACAGCCCTCGGCACGGTACATCAAGATCGATACAATCAGCATTGCACTTGCCCGTCACCCAATCAGGTGTCTTTGAAAACGTTGCCATGCGTTACATTTCTATAGTTCCTTTCCGGGTTCGTGGGTCGATCATGTTCCGTATGGAGTTCGCCCCCTTATCAGGAGAGGCGAAGTCCAGCCGGAGCAAGACCAGCCGGAGGCCGAGCACTGCGTACTGTATGGGTTTACTCCGTGTGGACTTAGCCTCTCCCCTGGGACATCGGGGGGGAGGGGGGGGGGCGGGGGCGAACTGGGCGCGGAAACAGTCGGCACAAAGTCCAGCAGCAGCTCCTGCTCATTCTGAGAGTGATCCGCCATCGACGTCGCCGCGGTCGTTGTCCGTTTGAGGCGCAAGCTCGCCTGCCCAACGGCGGCCGCTGCTGGTTTGGGACAGCATTTGTTCCCGGAAAGGGCGCCGGCCCAGGGT